GCCGCGTGGGGAACAGAGGGAGCAGGCAGGGGCTGCAGCGAGGCGTGGGGCTAGCGGTTGTTTGGTCACGTCAGTGGGAAGCTTCCCTGCCCTGAGCAGCCGGGATGCGGATCACGAAACGGGCAGAAAACGCTCGGTGTGGCTTGAACCGCAGCGTGATGGGTCCCGTTCGATGATGAGAGAGCGGCAGCGCCGAGGAGCTTCCCCTTACCTGAAAGGTGTGGAGGAGGGGATTGCGACAGGCACAAGAAAACGAAATAACCCAGCAGTGAAATACATCGCAGTGCAGATTGTCAGGTCTAAGCATTCAGAGCTGCATCAGAGATCTCACCCCGGGTAGAATTCTGCATAGTCTTGCAGCCTGGCAGGGAAACTGTCACATGCCATTGATACAGGAGCTGGGGTGCAACCTTAAGGTTGCCAGACTGAGTGGGAGGACTCGGTCTTTCGTTGGTTGATGACATTTACTCTGCTGCTTCTCAAATAAGCCTTCCCCCTCCCCAGTGCTCAGAAACAGCAGGGAGTAGGACCCCAAAACCAGTACTGGTTGGAGGTAGATACTGCCCAGACCAGTTCTGTTTTATTGACTGTATTATTAATTCTTCTCTTGTTTAAAAATTAATTGCAATGACAAAAGATCACTTGGCCTGATGGAGCTGTGTAGCAACAGTGCATGTAATGAAGCTGTTTGGCAATCAAATATTTCAGGCTCTATGAATAAGGATGCCAAAAAGCAATCTACCAATAATTAAGTTTTCAGTACAGTCATAAATAACTAAATACTGCAGACACACTGTCTAAGGAAGTTTGACAGTACAAACTGTAATAGCTCCTTAGTAATATTGCTATGACTTTGTCAGCTTTGTAATCTGGTGTCACCATTCAACCCTGGCTGAAAACCCAAAACAGAACCTTAAATAAACTTCTGGCCTTCCATGAGGGAGCTGGTGTAGATATTGGCAATGGGATTTGGGGAGAAGAATTTAGTAAGACTGCTGCTAGGGTGGGCCAGAAAGGATAAAGTAACCCCCTGTTTCACAACTGGATCAACCATAATATTTCCAACAAAAATAAAGAACCTGAGACCTTCAAAGACTCCAGAAGAGGTGCCAGTGTAATCATTTACATATGGCTGATTATCAAATTATGTATCCATAGAGAAATCAAGGTTGCCATAAAGCAATAAACACTGGTGACAAGTGCACAATGTTGTCAGTGCCCACAATTCTTTTCAGGAGATGAGATTTAACCTAACAGAATAAATATGCCTGTTGTTGATTATCTCAACTGTTTATCTTCCAGTCCAAAAGTTTAAAGGAAAGTTTGGTTTGTAGGGCAGCTGGCACTGGGCTGTAACCATTCACTTAGAGAAGGTGAAGTACAGGATTGGCTCACCTCACTGGTTTGTTTTTTTTTTAGTCATCTGTGTGTTGACATTAGCAATTGGCACATAACTATCAGTTTAAATTGAGTTTAAGAACAAAATAGCTATGCAAACACTTTAGCTGTCCAAGTAGCTGCTTCAATTGCTTGCCTTATTTTTTTTTTTTAATAGGAATTGCAGTAGCATGGAAGGGAATTCTTCCTAATGGACAACTGAGCACATTGGGACTCCAGAGATTCTGCAAGCTTGAGGCAGGTCAGTCTGGAATCATGTTAAACAAACCAGTGCTGGTGGAGTCACTGCTGGTGTTCACCATGGTGCTGTCGGTGCACGTGGTGGTGTGGGACCGATTCTCCTGGTGCGCCGTCGCTTTGGCCGTCCAGGCCTTCTACGTCCAGTTCAAATGGGACCGGCTGCTGCAGCTGGGGGGAGCCGTGTTCCAGTTCCGGGGGGCAGCCAACAGCGGCCTGCTGCCCGCCAGCATGGTCATCCCCCTGCTGGGGGTGGTGATGAAGGAGAGGTGCAGGGCTGCCGGCATCGTGTACTTCGAGCGCTTCGGCATCGTCGTGGCTTCCACGGGGATGCTGCTCGCTCTCTTCCTGTCCGTCTTAGCAGTTGGCATCACCAAACCTGTGCCAACCAACACTTGCATCCTGACTGGTATTGCTGGCAGCGTAATTATCTACACCATGAAACATTCCTTGACTGTCTCAGAAGTGATAGAGGTTCTAGAAGTGCTGCTCATTTTTGTCTACCTCAGTATGATCTTGCTGTACTTGTTGCCTCGATGTTTTACTCCTGGAGAAGCGCTGCTGGTTCTTGGAGGTGTAAGTTTTGTTCTCAATCAGCTCATTAAGCGTTCACTGAATGTAATCAAGGGCAGAGGGGATCCCATTGACTTCTTCCTTCTGGTGGCAGTTGTCGGAGTTGTTCTTCTTGGTCTTTTTTTCACTGTGCTCTTCATTTTCATGGATTCGGGCACGTGGATTTCCTCCATGTTTTTCCACATGATGACAGCAGTGTTAGGCTTAGGGGTCATCATGCCTTGGCTGTACCGACTGATCCACAGGAACCCTTTGTTCTGGCTGTTCCAGTTTCTGTTTCAGACACAGACAAGACTTTACCTTCTTCTGTATTGGACTTTCTTGGCTGCCTCAGCATGTGGTGTGGTTTTCTACCAGAACACCAAGAGATCATCTGAATCTAAAAAACACCAGGCCTCGACTATAACCAGGAAATATTTCCACTTCATTGTTGTAGCTACTTATGTTCCTGGACTAATTTATGACCGCCAGCTCCTCTACGTTGCTGCAGTGCTGTGTCTGGCAGTGTTTATCTTCTTAGAGTACGTTCGGTACTTCAGGATCAAACCCTTTGGACAAACCCTGAGGCATTTGCTCTCTCTCTTCTTGGATGAAAGAGACAGTGGACCTCTAATCTTGACTCATATTTATCTCCTCCTTGGCATGTCCCTCCCAGTGTGGTTGTTTCCCAGATCTTGTGCTCCTAAAGGCACCTTGCCTGGGGCAGGAGCACTGGTCCCCTACTCTGGGGTGTTGGCAGTAGGGGTAGGAGACACCATTGCCTCTGTTTTTGGCAGTACAATGGGGGAAATCAAGTGGCCAGGAACAAAAAAGACCTTTGAAGGGACAATGACAGCTATTTTTGCTCAGATCATTGCTGTGGCTCTCATTCTGATCTTTGACAGCAACGTGAATCTGAACTCCAGCTACGCCTGGATTCTGGCATCTGTGAGTTTGGTTTCTCTTTTGGAAGCTTACACTACTCAAATTGATAATCTGCTCTTGCCTCTCTACCTCCAGATCATGCTCATGGCATAGAAGCACTTCCAGGGACAGTTTTCTCTGTTCCTAGAGCAAGGTACTAGAAAATGCACTGTAATGAAAGCTCAAAGCTGATCTTTTGGTACAGCAGAGAAAATTGTTGAGAACAGAAATGAAATAGACTTATTTAAAATAAAGGTTTTGATTTGGTCTTTTTACCCCTGTTAAAAATAGCCAGATTTATGTTCTAGCAGCAAAAAATATAACTGATAAAAACAGCACTTGTGTTTAACAATCCAATTAAATTTTTTTCTGGGTGCCCAAGGGAAGCAGAGGAAGAGGTAAGTCAATTAGAGAGGATAAAATAAACAAGCAAGTTTCATCTCTCAGATGTTGCTACCTCTGTACTATACCTTGTTTTCTGTACTGAGTCCTGCACCTTGTGTTTGATGTGTGAGCTCTCATTTCTGTATAAGCACAATGTAAAACATGTTTGATAATGAGTGGTGGGCACAGGAACCAGGTACTAGTGTCCAGCTATGTCCAGTCCTGATCAGCAAGAGCCAAAACCACACCATGATGCACAAACACAATTCCAAAATCAGTAGCTGCCACAGCTGAGGTATCCAGGGTGGGTGGTGAAGGTTTGGGAATGTCAGACATTGCTCATTCCAGACCATGCTAATAAGAACAGTGAATCTTTAGTCTTGAAGTTTGCTTCAGCAAGAAAAATGTTTTATCTTTCTCAAGATTTAATACCTAATTTGGAATGAATATGAGGGGGGGAAGTTTAGCAAAGTCACAGCTAGAACTAATTACACATTAATCCTGAAAGCAGAAAATCTGTTGAAGTCAATAAATTTTCTATTATTACAGTTTCCTACTTTTCACATTTTTTCAGCCAGATGTTTAATCAAATCATTTAAAAAATTTCTTCTATTAACAAATTGACTAAAGGTACTGAATTCCATCCATTTAATTAAAATTACAGCTACCATTTTGTGGCCGAAGAAACCACTTCTATGTATGAAACCTTCCTGTATCAGCAGTCTCTTCGCACTGGTTTGCCCAGTGTCCATTAGAACAAAACACAAGTGTCCTTGATGTGTCCAAGCAGGAGATTGTGATTCCAGGATTCTAGTTTGCATCATGAAGTTCATTCCTGGCAGTTTTTTAATTCACTTTTGGGAACAGTTTGGGGGAAGTCCAAGGTACCTTACACAACGCAGGCCTGTAGCTCTGAGACCATGCCTTGGGAGGTCCACCAGGGGTGGAGTGAAGTGAAACCAGTCCCTGGGTCAACAGAATTGGTTCCAGAATCCAATATTGTGTGCTCCTGCAACAAGCCAGGACTAGAACAGCTGAGAAGCACCATTGCCCAATTCATCCCCCTGCCTGGGAAGGGCTCCTGGGATTTGGTGCTGCTTTTCCTGAGGATGCCAGAGTTGGCCAGAGCTGGCTTCTAACACAGTAAATTGTCAGATACTCTGTAGGAAACCAAACTCAGTAACTGCTGGGCTGTTTCCTTCATGTTTAACAGGAAATCCTGCCAATCAATCCAGCTTTTTAAATTTTGTTTATGCACTTGAAGTAGATTTTGCATACTGCAGGTAGTGGTGCAAGTCAGGACAAATTATCCCTCCTTAGCAGAATTCTAAATTATTAACTCCTCTCATGGAAAGACACAGACAAAACTTGAGTTGCTTCTGTCACAAGCCACAGCCTTCACCACTGACATAATAAATTGCACCAGAGGTAGAGACATTTGCATTCCTTCCACCCTGCTTCCAACTTGCAAACAAACTGTAGAAAAGGTAGTTTTTGAATACAGAAACTTTGCATTCAATGTTTCTGCTGTTGCCATGACCCAGCTCCCCAATTTACTTTTGAAAGGGATGAGTCAGTAAGATTTGGGTGTCCTCAGCAGCCTTAGGGTCACTCTGCTATAATTCCTGCATTGGTGACACTGTGCTCCTATCTCAGGGTTGCCAGAGCTGCACCAGTGCTGGTGAAATCACACCTACACAGCTCCTGTTCAGTTCAGGATACAGTCTGGGATGTAGCTTGCATTTCCAAACATTCCTTGCTATAAGCTGGTTTGGGGATAGAAATTGGTCTTTTGCATATTTAGAGTTCCAGCTGCTCACCAGACAATTTAGCACTGTCCCCATTTGTTGGGCGAAGGTCACACTGTGTCTTCCTCAAAGAAAAGATGGAGATGAAAATGAGAATTCCTATATTTTTATTTAAGTGTAAAAAGTTTGACGGAGGTTGTGTCCATTATTTCAACATGAATCTTCAAAAATTATTGTATTTTTAATCACAGCCAGAGATAAAACATTCAGCTACTGTCTGCCAGTATTTAGAAGACTGACTATAAAAAGCAGACTCCTGCTTCATTTTATCCACAAGATTGCTTTAAATCACTTATTCCAAAAATAAGACAGAAACGTAGGGGTGAAAATCAAACTTCTCCCCTGCATGTTCACCTGCTTTGCTGGAGTCAACCAGACAAGAAATGGACTTAAGCTCTTAAACACAAGAAAATACTGAGTATCTGCAAGGAGAAATACTTGGTAAGTAGTCCCAGCCAATGTGCAATGGTCTTAACTGGTTTGTTTTCAAGACTGAAGGTGTTTCCTTAGCAAAAGGACTAGTGACTACTCTCATACTGGCACGGCTCCTGCTTCAGTAGAAGCTTCTGTCTACTGCAGGTCTTGGGCTGTGATAATGGCCCTGGTTTTGAGGAGGAGGATAAATGAACATTGAGAGCTGATCTAGTGAAGATTGTTTTTAAAAGATTGTGAATGAACAATCAGAAAGGAATATTGATCAGCTATTGACTCCACAAAAGCCAGTCACTAACTTCAAGTGTAGAGCGATGGAAAAGGCAGTTCAGGAGTTGGCTGAAGCCTAGGAAGTAAAGAAGAGGTAAAAGCAAAACTTCAGAGGCTATTCCAGTTCTGCAGACACAAAATCAGTGCCAGATGAGGCACTACCAACAAACTGTACAGGCAAGACCCCCAACAGTTATCCTAACTCTTGCACTGGAAAGGCTTCAATTTCCTCAGCCACTTGTGAGGATCACAACCTTACCAGTTCTCTTTGCTCCAGGTGGTACCTTTGGCTTCCATCACGTGGAAGGTGAATGCGTGGCGAGAAGACTCCGAGCTGTTGAGTTCACTCTTATGGACAACCTCACCATGGATGAGGATGAGTCCACCTGTGGGAAAGAATCACCTGGACTGCTGCTTTCCAAAAGATGAGCTCTGGCTTTCCAATGGAAGGGAAGGTGCAGGGTTAAAATAGGATTTTAGCTCCCTTGTGTTTTCTCAAGCTGTGGAGCTGTTTGTACCTTTACTTATAGGCAGAGGTATGAACTGCTTCTCATCGTAGGCTGGCTCTGAGCCTACAAACTCGACACATGTTGAGGCACCTGAAGCTGCACGGACCATCCTCCGGGTAATCCCATCTGCAAATCCACAGAGTAAGCCAACACACAAAAATTAAACACCTGGCTACAACCTGCACAGTAAAGGAGCAATATCAGTTATTTCTCTTGGCAATGATAGGAACTTTATTATTACTATATTCACACTTCCCTTAGTAATTTAGGTGGGGTCTTTTTAATTAAGTAGAGATGTAGGATTTTTCAGCTGTGGCAGAAACAGATGAAACAGCTGCCTTTTGCTTGCCTTTTTGGCCCCTTCTGTGCATTGCAACAGACCATTTGGAACACAAATGGTCACACGCTTATGCAAAACTACCCTTTGGTCCATTTGTGCTTTCTGTAGGAGCATAATCCATGATATGAGTACAGCTGGCTCCAGGATTTGAGGAATGAGTGGCTTAAAATCTGAAGAGCACTACAATTATACTCACTGAGTGAATCTTTAGGTAAGCAGAGTTTAAAGCTGCCCTGTGTGCTCTAGGGGTGAGAAAAAGGAGAACTGTGCTGGTGACCAGCAGTGGTCACACACATGCTCTTACTGGTGTGAGAGCCAGGGATGAACCACAAACAGCCATTCTCCTGTGTGGCATCTTCCAGGGCGATCCAGAACCCCAGGATGCGGCCCAGAGGCTCCGTGTGCAGGAAGGTGGCATCTTGGTGTGGAGTCACTGCAAGAAGACACTGTCACTGGGGTCTTTAGTGGGATTCAGTTCTTCTAGAAGGACTTCAGGCTTGCATCTCCCTGACTCAGAGCCCGCCCCTGCCAACCCACCTATCACACATGTTAAATCTTACATAAAAATACCAACTTTTAGCCCACTGCAAATATAAAAACAGCTCTTTGTTTGAGCTGCATATGATGTAACTTTCCTGAAAAAATGTGGATTTCAAAGATGGTTTGGTCCACCAAGCTGACAGGTTTAAGTCTGATTCTGAGCCCTTTCTCTGGTAACATTCCTTTGCTAAAGGAGTATTATCTGCAGTGTAATAAAGAGAACACAAATCTCACCTTCACCACCAATGCCAGGTTGCTGCAAAGAAAAAAAAGTGATGTGTGAAGAGTTTCACAGCTTCTCACTTAACAGGCCCTTATTTCCTGAGTGACAAGACAACTTGAATTACTGTACCTTGAAGATATACATGCTCTGCACAACTACTGGTCTCTCAAGGCCTAGTTTTCTTCCCAGTTCCTGCAAGAAAATTTTCCAAGATTTATGTTTTCTGCACATTATTGAGCATTATTCTTTGAAGATATTTCTTTTCACTGACAAAATTACTCCTCCTGGGAGTGTAGAAAACTAAAATTAACTACTCTGCAATTCATTTTTTTCCCTAAAACCATTCTAGGAAGCAATAACAGCTCACCTGCACCTTGGGGGAGTGGGTGATTTGCTTGAAGACAGGATCATAAGCGTGTAGAGCTGAGGGGAAAGAAAAGGCTCAGACAGAAGAAGGGAATGTGGCAGCTCTCAGTGATGAGCTGCAGACACCACAGCCAAGCAGGATAAATTGCAGCCAGAAACTTTCATCCCTCCCAAGGTGGATAAATGTATCTTATCACACCTAAGGTGATAGGAATTTTACAGAGGATACAATCATAATTAAAGACCATAAATATAATCACTTCCTGGGCACAAACTGGACACACGTAAAAGCCAGTGTACATCAGAGTGAACAAAATGGAACATTATGTGATTCAGTATTATATTTCACAAGTGACAACCATTATACATGACCCTGAGGCATATGGGTGAATTCATCCTTTAAAAACACACCTCAAAGACCTACCAGAAAAGTGAAGTACTGCAAAAAGGAGCTAGAGTTCATCTTTGGTGCCCTTCAGAGAGCCCCAGCCAGCAGGTCAGAGTGTTTGTGTAGACTCTTGCTACAACCCAGCTCTGACAAATCCACAAAAAGAATCAGAGTTGTGCCTCCAGCTCATCCTGATCAGATTGCCAGAAGGACCCAAGGCCAGCAGGAGCTGCTCTCAAGCAAGGGATGAGACTTGACCAAAATGAATAATTACAGAAAATAAGACTAGAGAGGGCTTTTGAATTGTTAAGTTGCTGTGTCAGCAGGAATTGAAAGTAGTTTTCACTTCCCCTGAGGAAAAGCTGAAGTGTGACAGAATGGCAGCAGGCCTGGGAAGAGGAGAGTGTTTTTCTGAGAAAACCACAGAACAAGAACACTTAGTACTGAATTTCCAATTGTAGTGAAGTTCAGTATGAACAAAGTTCACGTTTGCAGGCAAAGAGAATCCTGCTCTCATTTTCCATGTGTTGTTTGAAAATGGAAGGGATCACAATGCAAGTACAGGAACTGGGAGAGAAGCAGATCAAACAGACCAGTAAGGGTTAAGAAAAAGTGTTGGTGACACCACAGGAAGGAGGGGAGCTTCAACATCAGCAAACCAGCATGGCACAGGACATAGGAGGGAGTATTGATTGTCACCAGTCTCAGTGGTAAACTTCTAGAGCAAATGTCTTACATAAAAGAGCCAAGGGCTGAAGTCCAAACTTTGGCGTGTCAGTGACTCTGAGCTATTCATTACTGAGAAACCTCTGAGAAGGGGTTTTTGAAAAGGATTGGAACAGAAGATACAGCAGTCTGAGAGCAGAGTGAGGGGCAGCATGGAGAGAATTGCAGAGACAGTTATGTACAGTGAGTAGGTCTGGAGAAATCCTCATGTCTGAAAACCACATCTCTTTTGTCCATTCCTCTCCAAATCCCATCCTTTAAACATACCATGGCCAATCTTGCTGACAGACTTCTCCTTTGGAATTAGAAAGTTACCTACGAAACAAAACCATAATTTAACATTGTTTGAAAAGCAGGAATCATTCCTTGAACTGGAAACTGGCCCCCGATCCATCACTCAGCCTTTTCACATTCCCTCTGCGTGCCTTACTCAGGCCAGGGCTTACCTTTCTCATCCAAAACACCTTTTTCAAAGAAGAACCTGATCTTGTCTCCACTGGTGAGGAAATAATCCGAGCTACCCTGCCAGGGATAAAAGCCCAGTAAAGACAGCATCCTTGTAAAAACATACATGAACTTTCAATCAAATTATTAACACTCACCTGCATCTTTTTTTTCCACCCAGCCGCAGCATAAACAAAACACAATGAAAAAATCATTCATAAAAACTTTCCACAACACTCCATGTCTTGGTGCTGATCAGGGCTTTACGAGAACCTCTCACATAGAGGTCACCCTTGCCTTTTTTTATTGGCTGCCTGGAAAATAACCAGTTTTCTGTCTGCAGAACACATACAAAGTGATCTGCGAGAGCTGCTTGTGGCTGCCGGGGGTTGAAAGCACGGCAGAGCCACACACTGATAAGACCCCAGGAAACATTTGCAGAAAGCTGGAGAGCAAATTCCTCTCCTGGTGTTATGTTCGGTTAGGAGGAAGAGCCATGTTCCAACAGAGTGAATGAACCCTGATCAGCAATTTGCCTTTTCCCGTCCTCTTCCCAGCTCTCCCAACAAGGGCAGCCCTGCCCTTCCCAGTACCTGTGCTTGGAGCTGCTCTTCCTCCCTGGTGGAGAACGCGGTGCGGCAGTGCGGCGGCACTTCCATCTCCGCGACGATTTTCTGGATCTGGCTCCTCATATCGTCACACTCCTCTGTGCTGAAAAACTGCTCCAGGACAAGGAAGCCATCCTTGTGGAACTAGAAGGGACAAGGTGGCTGCTCTTCCCCAGAGTTCTTGGGGGAAGCAGCATAAAGCAAGAGAAAACAGTTCTGGCCCTTAACAGGGTAAAAAGCATCCCAGCTCCAGTTCTGCAGCATGTTCTTAATTTTTAATTTCAGGACAGCTTCTGTTGCAAAAGATTCATTAAAAGGCTGAAATTCCAAACAGTTAAGAACAATCTATTTCAATCCCTCAGTCTACACAAAACAGATCTCATTACTAGAGCCTTTTGTGGTAGGATCTCTTATCTAACACCTGTAACCAGCAGCTATTAAACTACCAAGCCCACTAATACAAACAGGGCAGTCACACCTGTGTGCCAAATCACAATGAGATTTCTTTACAATCTGGAAAGCTTTGTTCTCTCTAAGGAAAAAAAATCCCTGGGTGCTTTCTCACAGTTCACTACACAATCCTGTACAAAATAAACTCTGTTGGCAGTGAACTCAGTTTCTTTATATAGAATACCCTGGAGATTATCCTTTGCCAGGAAGATTTCCAGTTCAGGGATGAGAGCCGAGCAGCAGAGACAGAAGCAGCACAGGAGAAATGCCTCCAAGAGCTCTGTGGGACAAGCTGCCCCTGGAAGAGTTTGTAGCCATGACACTCACACGCTAAAATTAATACAACAAAAGATGCTGAGGAGAATATAAAGTGTTTGTAAACAACAGGTTAACTAGCAGCGACTGTATCTTACACAAAGCGTCACCTGGCTGCACTCTGCACATGCTCCCTCCCCACAGAGCAGCTCCTTACCTTCTGGATCTGATGCTGGGTTACAGATGCCATCGGGGCAGAAGCTCCCCAGATCCCACCACCAACACTGCGATGGCACCCCGGCTCTGCAGGACAGACTCCCCGCCTCTCCACGTCATCCTTGTCCCAGCATGTGATAAAAGCCAGCGCTGGGCTGTTGGACTCTTGCACAGCTCCAGACATTTCTGTCCCTGCCGCCAGTTCTTTGTTCCTGGCAGGGACGTTCAGGACTGCACAGTATTGCTTTGGCTCTTGGTGGTAACAAAGCACACAAAAATTTTCTCTTCAAGCGCTATCACAAACTTGATGAACATTTGAGCTCCAAAGAGTAATCGCTTTTAATTAATAACCCAGATTTAAAAATAGAGCAGTTAAACTGGTAATTGCAGGGGTACGTAAGATAAGGGGGGGTGGGGTAAAATAAGATTCAAGTGTGAAGAAAAGATCAAGATGTCTTAGAACAAATTTAAAGTACTGATTCAGGGTCTTACAGAGCCCTTTTTGCTTAGCCAGTGAGTCTTGCCAGCACTTCAGCAAATCCCCTGAAAGGGCTCCCCAGCCCAGGAGGTGACAGACTAAAGGGTGGTAAACAGCTTTCACTGAAGGTTTGGTAAAACCCATAGAGAATATTTCTGCTATTTTCATCCACAGCTGCTTTTTGGTAATTTACACCTTCACTTGCTCAGTTCACTCCCCTGCAGCTCCAGAAGTCCATGTAGTATTTACAAGTAAGTTCAGCCAAATCCACCCAAAGTTCAAACCAGAAAGCAAAAAAAAGCAGAAAGTGGCTCTAAAAGGCAGAGAGGGAGGAACAGTTGCCAGCCCAGCGGTGGCGCTCCCAGCCAACACATCCCTCCCATCGGGAATCCCTGGGGAAGGTTTCTCTAGAAGTAAATGCGTTTGGCTCCTACAGGAAACATCGAAAACACCCTTGCAGCAGCACTTCTCAAAAATAACACCAAGGGGGCAGGTTCTTGCATCACTCAGCAAAGGAAAACCCAGCAAAAGGAAAGAATGCAAAATACTCACAAAAAAAGTGTTTATATCCTAGAAACTGAAAATTCATTTAAAGAAAGGTTGTTTGAAATAATTACATTTCCTATTCTGTAAGGGAATTGTGAATAAAAATCCCTCTGCAGTTTACTAAAACTTTATTTTTTTTTTTAAATAAAGAGGAAATTAGGGGTTTGACTTTTTTTCAAGCTTTTCCCTGTACACAGGAGGATATGAATTCAGTTGTTTAAAAAACTAAATTCTGCCAGAATCACTGGGCTACAAACCTGAATGGGGGGGAAAAAAAACAACTAGTCTCCAATACTGCAAAGCTCAAAAAAATATTCCAGTAGTTCCTCCTTCCTCTTAACAGTCTCACCAACTGATGGAGTGGAAAACTTTTTAAGGAAGATGTGTGACCAGTGGGGGAAAAAAACCAGCTGTACATTGCTGCCTGCAAGCTGATCGTGTGACCCACCTCACCCCTCCCTGGGAGGCAGCAATCCTGGAGAAACACTCCTGGAAAACACTCCCACACCACTCCTTAGTCCCTCTCCGTCACTGTTGTGTCATGTCCTTCTCATTCCCACACACAGTGGTTTTTTCCAGCAATTTATCACGTCACCTTCTCCACTCCCCACCTTGCGCACACACGATGACTCCAGAGGCTGTTTTGGTTCATGCCACAACAGCAAACCACAGTTTTCCTGTTCCATGGAATGTTTTGAGCAACACAAACAGCAGATCACAGCAAACAATGCAGCAGCTACCAGGATATAAATCCATCCTGGTTTCAGGAGCTTTCCATGTCTGTCCTTAGGACTCCTCCCATTCTTTGCCACTATTCTGAGGCTCAGAAAAACCTTTCCAGCAAGAGGAAAACCACTCCAGCCACCCAATGCCCAAAAAAAGGCAAAGAGAAGGATGCCACTGTTGTAAAGCCTTCTCTCCCCAGTAAGTTTACATAGAAAAGTTGACAGTACTTAGACAAAACTGGGAAATGACTTCTTTTCCTTCCCTTCCCTTCTCCCCCCTCCAAGAGCTCTTTTTGCAGACTCAACATTTTCTCCTGCCAGCTCTGCAAGAAAACTTCTGGCAAACACCATTGAAGGCTGCCAGAGTCCATCTCATGTCTTCAGGAAAGATCAAGTGTTTCAAATGCCTTTTGGCATGATTATCCCAATGAGGATTCCCGTTGAAGCCATTTATAACCAAGCCAGCTCAAGCAGCTCAGCACTCACACCAAAACTGCTGCTGTGGAGCTGCCAGGGTTATCAGGGAGGAAAAATTTCCACTGGACCGCTTCTCCTGAAGTCTTTGATATGATCAGCAACAAGTGACAGAATATTTAATGAGAAGCAAGGAGCAAAGGAAGTATGGTTTCCTTAGCTCCTCAAAGACCAGGTAAATCCTTCAAAAAGTAAACCAGCCAAAAGGAGCTGAGGTCCAGGTGAGCCTTTGATGACAAGGGAGATTTTTCTTGGTTCAGTCCCACATTTCATAAAAACTCATCAATAAGCAGCATTACAAACTCCCACTCACCTGTTTCAAAGCCTGCTTACGTTCTCTGTCTGAAGTGGGGCCAATGTCACTGTGGTCAAGTAGTCATGGACAAAGGAAGTGAAGGAAGGCAAAACACAGGAGAAATACCTTTCTACACAATAAGAGCTGCACAGAAACTCAAATTTTCTTTGCAAGTCACAGGCTGATTCTCTGTAACGCATCATGAATTGGGAAAGATGCTATCTGCCAGCATTTCCAGTTAAGGAACCCATGGGGAAGGCAGGTACTGAAATAATTTACCATTCTGAAGACAATTCCTATGGCAACAGCCTTAAATTCAGCAACAGAAACTGTTTCAGACACTTGTAGAAGCGATAGTGAAATCCATGACACAGCCCCAGCTTGTCACAGAGCAGCACCTCTTTCTCTGTACATCTACTCAATTCATAAAGGATTGTCACAATCCACAGGGACTTTTGTAACGAGTAGAAGAACTCAAAACCACACAATAGCTGGAATTATTAACACCTGTCTTTTGAAAAGTGACATCATGGAAGGCTGAATACCTTCACACACAAGAAACACCAAAGAAAGCAGACATAGAAAGAAAATGCAAATGAAAACTTTTATTCTGGTGAAGTGTCCAGTCGTACAAATCTTTCAGAGCAAACAAGAGCAGCCTTCAGTGCTCACAGGGAAGGTGCTGTTGCTCAGCTGCCCAAACAATCCCATGTACAAAGTGAATGTCATGATTCTGAAATGTTACACCAAGTTGCAGGTCCCAGATGCCAAACCACAGTCCTGCTTGTGCATTTACACAATGGGAGTGAACCATGTTTAAGCCATGAGTAGTGACTTATTGAAATGGACACATTTGTCAGCTGTAAAGATGACTCAGGCTCAGTAGCCCCCTTCTCATTAAACCTCCTCCAGAAAAACTCTTCCATTGTCCAATAAAATTCTTTTAAGGGAAACAGAGAGAGGAAGGAATGGAAAATTCCAGGAATCCTAAATTAAGCCTTTGTGTGAACTCACACAAAGTTGACCTTTACCACTGGGGTCTAGCAATTCAAGTGCTGCTACTTCTGAAACCAGATTTTGGATATGAGATTCCTGGAGGATTTCATTCTCCCAAAGCAGCTGAATATTAACCAACTGCCACAGCTGAAGGGAGAAGGGTCTGAATCAAACTTTAATAATCCTAATAAAACTTTAATAATCCTGCCCCATTACAGTTGTGCTTTGTACACTATTAGAATGAGGTAGGACAGAAAACTCACTGTTTTGGCACTTGCTTGGGAAAAGTACATTATCCACTGTAACCAAACAGTGGGGCTAAAATGGAAGAAAAATTTTTAAAGTTAAGTTTAAGCAATAATTTTACTGCTCAGCATCCCCACAGCCTTACCTTAGGTGACTTTCAGAGCAGGTGACTCTGCTTACAGTATGACAATGTTGTCTGGCAGTGAGAAGTCACCCCAGAAGTTAGGAAATCTCTCCATGGTTGAAAGAAAAAGAATCCAAGGGATGAGTTGGCTTCAGGCAGGCACTGCTACAAATACACTCCAGGGAGCAAGTGCCTCTGGGGAGATATTACATTAACAGATCTCTAGAGAAGGCACAGCTATTGATGAGGGGAAAAAAAGTTACTCCTCCCTTGAAAGAGGACTAAAAAAAAGTTTAAAAATCCAAAGAACTCAAACCATGCGAGTTCCATTCTAAAGCAGGAAAAGAGGTAAGGAAAGGAAACAATGTCACAGCCTAGGCATCAATACAATTTGCAACTTTTTTCCAGACAACTCATCCTCTGTAAAGGATGTGTTATTGTTCTCAAAATTCCTAGAATCAATTGTTAAAGAGAGGACAAAAAAAAAGGAAAAAAAAAAGAGGACTTCATGTGTTTCAGCAACAGAAAGCCACTCAATACTATTTACAGTAATGAACACCAAGAACTTTAATTAAAATGGAGTGAGCTAAATGGAGTGCATAAACAGGAATAAGAAAAAATAAAAAATGAGGTAGGATATTAAAAAGAAGTGACAATTAATATGAAAGAACAGCACATCATGAAAGATACCTGTAACAGCTATTTAACCACTCAGACTGACAGAGTAAATTACTTCCAGCTGCTGAATTAACTGTGGATCAAATAATAAAATCAGAAAGTGATCTGAAACAGAACAACTTAAGCTAACATTCCAGTGAATAGTGTCAGAGTACAGCACAATTTTACACATTTAATAGGTTTGGTATTCCTTGCCTTTCAGCTGATTCAAAATAACTAATTGCAACTTATCACTTTTTGGGGTCTTTAGCAGGAAAGGTAAAGTGCATATCACTAACCTTCAATCCTAACATGGGATGAGCATCCTTGTGTTCTCCAAGAACTTGTTCTGCTCAGAAGTGCTATTAAAGGAAACAGGTGGGTTTAATTCAAGTTGCTGTATGGTTTAGCAGCTAATAAATAATCTGGTTTGCTACTGTTTTAAAAAGCTTGTCAGGAGAACAAGACACTGACCAGGGCAGTGATTGTCTGCTTAAACTGAATGCTTTTTGTGAATGCACAGATCTGTGTCAGAAATAAGCTCCCTAAGCTTCAGCCTGATGGAAACTTGAAGGACAATATAGAATATTCACAGATCAAATACTTGCAAGTGAGGATGGATTGTTGATGTAAGGACACCTCTCACAGAATGAGCAATCCAGAAAAGTTTGGGAAGTGACTCGCTCTGCTGTGGGTTGAGTTTTGCAGCAGTCCTCAGTCATAAACATGTTCAGGACTCATGGTCTAGATCCTATCCTCAGAAGTTTTAGAGCTTTTTCCATCTCATCATACAAGACTGATACTCTGGAATCAAAAGGGAGACCAAGCAGCACGTATCAGAAGTAAATACTACATATTGCTGTCTTTCAGAGTGACAATGTATTTGTGTCACCTGTGTTTCCAGTACAAAATGTTATCAGACTGCTCATCCTCATTTTACCACACAGGGAGCTCTCAAGCCCCAGCAGCTATAACCAAGAGAGTTAAGCTTGGATTATTGCAAAAGCAGCACAAAGCTGGCATTTTCATGCATGATCAATATCAGCCTGTCTTGCACTGAGCTTTGCACACCTCGGGCCCAGGGCAGTCTCTACTCAGGAAGCAGCAGGAGCACAGCATTGTATCTTGGTCAGGAGTTTGAGGCAGTCCCTCCCTTCTGGCAGAGCAGCCTGTTGTTAACCCATCCTGCTGGGATACAGAGCTGCTCAGGAGGCTTGCAAGCTTCTAGAAGTGCTGCACCACACTTCCAGGAGCTGCTTATAGAAACTCTAACCCAGCTGTGCAAAGTTTAGGTTGTATAACTAAGACCACACCTGGAATCAAGAGTCAAAGCACTCCTCTCCAATGCAGACATCCTGGAGAAATCTCACTGCTCCTGTGAGCCAGGTGAAACTCCCACGGGGTGCTTTGCCCTTTCAGCCCTGCCTGGTCTAAAATACACGTAATAAAACAGGCCTTGAAGAGGAAACAGAGTCCATGTCTCCATTCAGTGGCCATTACTCTCCAGTGTTATCTTTTAGTACAGACTAAGGAAAAAAGTTTCCTTCACCATCCAAACAGCCCCCACATCCACCACAGGGAACTGACTGGAAAACAGCATTGCTGTAGCTAAACCTAAAGCCATTCCTGCTTTACTCAAGAAGCAAAGCTCACCTAGCAATTTCTGTCCTTTCTGTGACCCAAAATGCTCAGACAAATACAAATACAGTCCAATCAGCATCAGTCCTTCCCCATCCTTTCAGCTGTGGCCCCAGCTCTAACACAATTTCAAGACACTAAGCCTATTAGAAGCCAGAAAAGCTTTTACAGTACCTTGCCTCCCAGAGAGAGATTTAATTATACTATCCCCTGGACTGTTTAGATGTTTCATAATAAATGGACTAAGGGAAGCAAGATTTACATTTTTCTTAAAAGCAGTTTTATAAACAGATCTCCTGATTTTAATGTAGCTTTATTTAAGCATCTGAACATCAATTAATCCAGAGTCCAGTTAACATTGTTCATGGTTTCAGCATATTTAGTGTATATATATATATTTCATATTTTACATCTGATGAAGAGAGCCACACTGTGCCTTATTGCCCCAATATCCATGGGATCACCACAAACCAGGTGATAAGCCAGGGCACTCACTGGCAGCTTGTCAGGAATCACTCTGGAGCTGGATGCAGCTTCCCCCTTTGTACACATGGGATGCCTCCAAACTTCTCATGCCCCAGCTTGCAGCACTGCACACCTTGGAGCCAACCTGTTGGTCTGATGCAGATTGTTACAACCAGGACCTGTAGGTCCAGGCACCTCCTCTTCCTTCTGATGGAAAAACGAAGACCTTTGCGTCCTGGAGGCAACTTAACCACCCCACCTTAAGGATACTATAATCAGAAACTGTTACACATTGTCTACCTCTACCAGCCCAGAAGGTTGAGGGGTTTTTTGTCAAATACCACCAAACAGGTTAAACTTGTTTCAGTAAAGGCTGCTCTGTTCCAGGAAGCCAGAAGGGATCAGTCCACAGAGGATTCTCATTCTCCTCCTCAACACTGAGGGAATGAAAAGGGAAGGAAGAAACAGGAGGACAAGGTTTCTTTTCCAGCACCAGGTTCAATCAGCATTAGCCTCTTATTTAGGTCAAGAGGTGTAACAGGAACTGACAGCTGTTAAAGTGAGGGGAACAACAGAAGAGAACGATCAAGCAGCTCTCTAGATTGCATCCATGAAAAACACTGGCAGAGCATCCAACAACTTAATTTAACAACTTAATTGTGGGGGAAGGCAGAATGGGGGACAAGAGATGCAGAGGAAACCCAAATTTCCTCTCCAACCCCATGAGAGCCCCTGACACACTGGCCAGTTGTACATTTCTACTTGATATGCAACAAAATACCAGCAATTAAAAAGTAGCTTGAAACTAAAAGCAGAAGCAACTCAATGCTTCTGAGAGAGTAGATTAGACAGTCCAACTGCTTTTTATCCAGATCTCCCACTTGCACTATAATCATCCATTTCAGAACAGGCTAAAGCCCTGGAATTGTGTCAGTTAGTGCCTCCAGGACATCAGCTGGAGAAGGATGCTGTGATCTACTCACCCGCACAAGTGACTTGAAATCATTACAGTAGTGCAATCTTAAAGGAGCAGATAGTTTGGTTCCTTCTCCAGGGGCAGAGAAGATGGGGAGTGTGCAAAGGGGAAAGAAAATCAGTAAAAAAAAAAGAAAATTCCGCCTTCAAGCAGCTGCGAGATGTTTTTCTCCCAAATCCTAATGCCAGCATCTAGACAAAATCAGCTGTCTGTGTCCCACCCCAACCTGGGGCCTCACTGACTGAGTCAGAGGGCAGCAGTACCAGCTGTCACAGAGATGGAGGTTCAAGAGGTTTCCTTGATTCTCGATCTTTGCCTGCAGGACACTGGACTCCTTTGGTCCCTGACACATATAAGCTCTATTAGGAGCAATGCAGCAATCCCCACATTCGTTTTCTCCTCCATTCAAAGGTCACTTCTCACCAGCACCATCCACCTCACCCCAATTCCTGTCCAGAAGAAGAGCAACACCTCTAATGCCCCCTGGGCCCTGCTCAGAGGCCAATTAATCTGTCTTGATCCTCATCCTGATCCCAAGCCTCCCCCATCCAGCATCTGAGGCAAGAAGCTGACTCATTCAGAGTCATGTTTGTCAAGGACTCCTTGGCCAGTTTTGATAGTGATTGGAGTGGAGAAAGGGGAGCATCTGGGTGAAAGGGGACTGAAATGGCCTTTTGCTTCCTTCTGGTTGATCAGAGGCTCTTCCCTCTTCTCAGGTGTTCAAGCTTGCTCTTTGTCTGCCCTCCACAGGCGCTCTTTGACTTCCAAGGGCAGGGTGTTGAACAGGTCCTCCTCCACCACGAGCCCACTGCGTTTCAGCAGTGGGCACTCTCCCAGCTCCACAGGCAAGCACTCCAGGCGGTTCCCTCGCAGCTCTATCTGTGACAGATTCATCAGCTCTCCCACCCGGGAGGGCAGTGACTGTAGCACGTTGTTTCCCAGGTTCAAGGTTCTCAGCTTCCTGCACTGGAATAGCTCTGGTGGGAGACTCTCAATCTGAAAAAAAAAGAAACCAATCATAGGCAAAGTCACCAGCAGACATGGACACACCTTCACAAGTGACCAACAAGCCAACATGAAGCTCCAAAGTTTACAGAGCCACGGTTTTCACTCATCCACTTCTCCCTTGAGTGAGTTCCTGCTTTCTGAGCTTCCTGCTTTGGGTTCTTCCAACACTATGATTGTATGGATTCCTCTTTCAGACACTGCACTAGTTACAAAAGATCACCAGTGATGGTGGCTAAAGAAGGTATTGCCTCCAAGGTTAGAGGACCAGAAACCTGCTCACAGCTGGCCTATAGTGTCACATGCTTTCATCTGTATTGGCTTCTTTCCATCCCAAATCCTTTATTCTGTCATTGCATCTTAGTTCCTTTGCTTTAAGAAGCCATTCTACAGTTGACATTATACTGAACAAAGACTGGATTTAATCAGGACTTCTGGTTGGGCTGTAAGGTGAGCACGGCCTACATGGGTAGAACTTCCTGGCCCTGAGAACTGGAAATCTTCTTCCATCATTTTTGTAGGGCTGTGAAACGTTGCAAAGATTTTCTAGGCTCCAAGTCACAGGGGCTTTTTACAGTGCCAAAATACAAAAACAATGAAGCCACCAGCTGTTAGCTTTCTCAGCACCACCTTCAGGTAAACCATGAAACACTAATTTAATAAGGCTTATTTCTAGCAAATCCTTGTAATAGTCCAGTCCTCCCAAGGAATTTCTTTCTATGGCTAAGGTTTAGCAAACTCTAGGCTAGAAACAAAATGCAACAACTCAGGATTCTCCCCTGAATACAAAGGCTCAGCTTGGAGGCTATTGTTTGCCTTTAAAAGCAAACGTGACTTTTCTAAAACCCAAATTATGTATTGTATCACTCGTGGCTAAATTGGCCTGTAATCCATTCTGAACAAGGAGGAGTCTAAAGAAAAGCCAAGATGAAACCAAACTAATTAGAGACAATTCAATGCAGTCATTGTTACTGGTACTGGAGTGTTTTACAAACAGCAACATATGATCACAGACTCTTGAAAATAATAGTTACTTGAGGGACAAGTATTAGCTTAGGAAGGAAGCAATGTGTTGTAACAGCCTGCTTTCCAGAACAGGACAGTAGTGCCAGCCAGCTCCAGAAGTCTCTATTTACTAAGACTGCTAAGCTAGGAGAGGACATTGGAGATAATCCCTGGCCTTAGGAAGTGCCAGTCTACCAGTTCTTGTATTTCTTGCTGTCACCATTTACTGAGAATAACCAGGCTGTCAGAGCCCCAGTAATTCTGGCTTGCCCAGGTACCTGGAACAGGTTGGCTGTTCCACGGGGTCCTCACCACCTTTTGTTTCCGAACACATGGGAGCAAAGGCTGCTTTAGCCTTACTGTTGTGTGGGTTTTTTTCCAGAGAGAAATGGGTGGTGCCACACTGTGCTGCGGGAAATTGAACTGCCTCTAACTCCTTTCATCCAAGAAATGCTCCACCCCAAAACTGCAGAAAACACACTGCAGATTAACCCTTGGGAAGCTGTGCTAGGAAGGCTGCCAGAAGGCAAATGGTGCAGAATTATCTCAGCTCTGAACAGCAACACACCACAAAGTTTACCAGAGCTTCAGCCACCCACACAAACAGATGCACAACCCTCCAGTGCCAGGAAGCCCCAGTGAGCAGCTGTTCAGCTGGAATTGCTGAATGACTGCCCCTTGTCTGCCCCTACTCTGCAGAAGCACAAGCTTTCAGACACTAATCTCAAAATATGGCTGGAGTTTTAGGAACCCTAATACTGAAATGCATTAGCAATTAAATACTTGATTTGAGAACAGTTCTGTGAAAAGCAAAACCACAATCAAGCTGTTCTGTGTCTCTCACAAGCAAACTGGCAGTGTTCAGGCAGAAACAGATCTTGCCAATCAAGGAAGGACCTTGATGTTTGACAGTGAAAACTAGCACTGCTCCAGGACAATTCTGCTTGGTCCCAGAAGAAACCAGAAGCACCTAATTATGTCTGTCTGCAATTTGTACTTATATTAGAGGCTCTTTCAACTTTGATAATGAACTCAAAGGGAAAAAGAGAGTCTCCCAGGAATTTGCAGACAAAATGAATGAAAGCTGCAGCTTTGTCAGACATGGTAAATGAAGTCTCCTTAGTCTTAAACAAAGGAACAAAAAACTAGACATGGATATAGTTTGCTTTAAGCAAATAAACACCCTCCAACACAAGCCAAGAAACAGCTTATGGTAATCAGGCAGCAGAGCACACTTGGTCACCCTCTGTAATCTGCCCTGCACTTAGAGTGAAACAAAAAGCACATATTTACAAGACCAAACTATGGAACATCCCCTGCAAACTCCTTAGAGTACCAAAGTATTCCAAGGAAAGCTGTAAGCCAGACATGCATTGCCTATATGGTTGCTCCCATAGTGTACGTACATGTCTGAAGTAAGACAGGTTTAAGCACATAGCTTAAATTAAGACTACAGTTTCCCAGATCTCCATTTTAAGCCCAAAATCAATGTCAATCTAGAGACTACATGTTTCCAATTGCAGAGAAACAACTGATTTGCAGGGTTTCTAAACAGCCTCTAACTGGCACTTGGAAGCAGTCTCACTTAAGAGAAGAAATGCAACAGAACAAGGACTCTTGGAAGACAGGCTTGCCCTGGAGCTATCTGCAATGTTTGGCCTTAGATAAACCCTTTTGAGAGATAGAAAAGCAGTGCCAGTCATATCCACAGACCATTGTAGCATGTTTAATCACACAGATAACAGAAGCGCCAGTGCCATTTCCTCTCACAGCAACTCAGCTCTTTGATCACTTACCCTGTTGGCTGTCACAGCCAGATTCTGCAGGTTTTGAAGAAGTCCAACGTCTGGTGGTATGAAAGTTAAGTTGTTGTGGCTGAGATCCAAGTACCGAAGTTTTCGGCAATAGAAGAGCTGGGTAGGGATCTTTTCTATCTTGTTACGGTTCAGGTAAAGGCGTTCTAAGTTGGTCAGGTTGCCTATCTGCATGGGGATGTAGGCAATGTGGTTGTACCACAATTTAAGGCAAGTGAGACGATGTAAGTGCTGGAAGCTGATGATTTCCTCAATGGTCTTTAGGTTGTTGTCCTTCAGGTCTATTTCCTGCAGATTGTGGAGGCTAAAGATAGAGTGAGGAATGCGTTCCAAGTCACACCGGATCAGCTCAAGCTCTGTCAGGTTGACCATCTTCTTAAGGCTGTTGAGGACAATGAGCTTGGTGCCCTCATTGTTGATGGAAAGCTTCTGAAGATGCACACCAACATCTGTCACCACCTGCGGCAGCTTGGTGAGGTTACTCTTCATCCTCAACACCTTCAACCTTTTCAGCTCTCTCAGTCCATCTATCACAATGTACCGGTTGTTTTCAGCGCTCAAATTCCCTGTCAGGTGAAGCTCCTCTAGTGTCTTCAGGCTATAAATCCAAAGAGGAATCTCCTTAATGTCTGTGAACTTGATGTGGAGAGATTTCAAATTCTCCCTCAAGAAGGCAAGGGCTGGGGCCTCAATTTTGGCAGCTGTGTGGTAGAGCCACAGTTCCTTAAGGCTGGTGAGCTGAGCAATGCTGGGGGGAATAGTGACATCAGGGATAAGCTCCAGCTTCAAGACCTCCAACTCAATGAGGTCAAAGACTGTGTCAGGAATGCCACTCAACATGAAAAGATGCAATTCCAGCTTATCCTGAGAGTTTTTGGTGATCCTCTGGCGTAGTTTCTCCAAAGTCCACTCATTGTTGAGGTTCAGCTGCCGCAATTTGTTCTCACTCACCTCTGACAGAAAGACAGCAAAGCGCTTGGAGTAGAGGGGGTCGTACTGATCGATCAGATGGAGCATAAAAGCAAAGTCATTTTTCACATCAGGGATGTCACTGTAACTGCTCTCCTCCCGGATGGACTCAAAGGAGTATTTCTTGAGAGACCGCCTCAACATCCACCACAGTGTGTACATGCAGATCAAACCATAGAAAATCACCAGACTGATGTAGAAAGAAGCCAAGATTTTGAAGAGAGTGGCCAAAGGATGAGCACAGCGGTACATCCTGTAGCCAGTCAAGCTCTCAATGTCCACTTTACAGTCTACATCAAATGTTATGTTGTTGACATAGTACACAGTATAGCAAATTATCAGAATGAACTTGATTACTTTGATTATAGTCTGTCTCATGTACAGGCGATAAACTATGTCTCCCTCTTCCACATGAGTACGGAACTTTTTCACTTTCTCAAAGAGTGCTTTGGCTTGCTCACCTTCCTTTTTGTCCAAGACACCAGTCTCAGACCTGTCCACAATCCCTTGCTCAATTCGAGACTTTGTTCTCTGCAGCATGGGAACAGTGGCTTCCACATCCTCACTGACCGTGGAGGATTTCTTGTCCATGGAGCCATTCATTTTTCCAAATGCTGGTTTGGTATCACTCTCTTCCACCACTGTCTCAGACAATGCTCTCGTTGTCCATGGAGAGTCAAAACACTTAAGCAAAATAGACACAAAATGCTCCAGCTTGGAGCTGGTCCTTGGGAACTTGAACCAGAAGTTGCTACAAGCTAGAAAGATGAGGGTATGTAGCAGCACTAGATAAGGAAAATACTTGGCAAACCAGTGAAGACGGTTCTCGTAACACACCGCATCCACATAGTTGTACTGGTGCCGGTCCAGATCATATCGGATCCCTGTAGGCCCCGAATCAGCAGAGGGAACAAGACTAGTGTTGTAGTAGGTACGCTCGGGGGCTGCTGTTGTCCATCCCCTGACAGAGTCATTGCAAGAGTCTTTGGTAACCCATTTACAGGGCAAACAAATCATTTTGTCCTGGGTGACCTGCAGCGTCCCTCCGAACACGGCGATCATCAGCATCACTATGGAAATGTAGTCTGTGAAGACGTCCCACCACGGCTTCAGGATGCGATAGGCTGGCTGAGTATCAGCGAAGTAGCGCAGCTCGGTGACTGGAATCATGATTCACCTGGAAGCAAACCAGAAACAGCTTAAAGGGTTTTGTTCTGCTCTTCAAGAGGGCATGAGAAAACACATGTTAAGTGCTGGCATTGCAAAATTGAGATTAGCCAAGATGCAATTTCAAGTAACTGTGAGACAAATGAATGAGGCTGCTTGTGAGTCATTTGTTGCAGCCCAGGCAGTGGAGTTTGTTCAGCCTTCACTGACAAATTGTCATAAAACCTCAGAACTGGTACTTATTGCTAACAGTCTGTGGGATAAAAGGCACTTAAAGAAAGCTCACAGGGCAAATTTAACTCACTTGACCAGACCAGTATTAGGAAATTTCCTGTTTTATCTAGGGATTTTATTTCAGGGATGAAGGAATTTGTCAGCACTGTTAGAAGTGATAAAATCTACACACAGAGCAATTTATCATTGCTTTGTTACTGCTTCTACATAAAATTCTGCATATGGCTGGTTCTCAGACTGAAGGGCCAAGGAAAACGATCTACATACAATACAGTTATGTTTCCTATAACCACTTCACTGAGGCAACTCATTATGACATTCAAAGTAAGCTGGAAAAGAGAACAAACATTGCTCAATATCATGACTTTTCCAAGTAAGTAATTTTGGCTTCCCTCCTGTTAATTCTCCAAGGAAAGATTAGCTACTTGCCTTTTGATAAATTCAGTACTGAAATACTGTAGCAGCTGGGTTTTTGCCTTACTTCAGAAACAGAAAAAGGGGGAAATATTCTTCAAATTACTTTCTTCACCTAGAGTTCATCCCAGCTGGGATTTAAGTGTCAAAGGGAACCAAAAGATTCTGGGAAGCACAGGCCTGATGGCAGTGCTTGTTAAGTCCTTCAGACTTGCAGATGGAACTTCAAGTATGCTCTTCAACAAGCCATAGAAAGTCCCAAAGTATGACTGATCCATTGATAACGGATAAATCACAAATTTTCTCTATTTGACAGGTAACACAGAAGAACATGGAGTCACTAACTCATTCTAATGATGGTGAAAAAACAGTAATACCACAAGTTCAGGAGCAAGACAAGCACTAATCTTACAGTTATTTTGAAACTCACACAACTCAAGTATAAAGAAGAACACAAAAATTCAATCATGTTACCCAAAGCCATAAGATTTCATTTGTACAGACAGTCCAACAAGTCCTGGGGGGCTGAAAGCTCAATATCACTGGCTGGGACAAAGCCTTCTATGACAAGGGGAGTGCCCTACCTGCTTTGGTAGAATTCAAGTTTTTATTTAAAATTAATTTCAGTCACTGAATTGCAAAGACAGACTTTCCTAACACAAACTCGAAAAGCACCACATTCCCTAGAGACACTAAATACAGAACTCTATTCTTCGGTTTGCTGTTTACAACAATAAACAGTCCAATGACAGCTTTGGCTCAGTGCTGCTTGGGAAGGTTTCAAGCAACTACAGGTGGTAGAGTGATAGATCAAAACCATTCCTCAAGTAATGTTTTTCCTTCTGCCCATTCAGGTCCAACACTACATTAGTCCATCACAAAAGACAGACTGGGGAATTGCCACTTTTTTTTTTTTTGAGTGTGTAATTTTAAGAGAAAAAGTGGCACTACCATCTAGTGAATTTGTCTAGAAATCTCTGAATTTTTCTAGAAATTCAGTAAAACAATGAACAGCAAATCTATTAATGATCAACCAGTAAAGTCACAAACAAGGGATGAAAACAGCCATCTAGAGCACAGTCAGGGGAAAAAAATGTCCTGTAGGACTGCAGAGCCCCTGAGAAGTGGCTGACACACCTAAGCAGAAAGAATTGCACTAAACAGGGCAGGAGAATTGTGCACCCACAGGGGAGGGAGCAGGCAAAGCTGAACTTCTGGACAGCAGCTGAGCAGCCAGAGAAGAGTGACAAGGTTTTCAAAGCCTCTCTCCCAGCCCTGTGACTACCTTGCTGCAAACCCTAGGCAAGGCATTTCAGCTTCCTCTTCAGAATACATCTGCCTCAGAGAGGGGAGAGCCCATGTGCAAGATACATTTTGGAAAATCTGTCTGTGCGTACTACAGAAATAACTACAGGATAAAGCAGGGTACAGAAGCTCTTTCTGCACACCAGAACAACTGAAATGAATCCAGCAGTTAAACAGCTATTCATGAAAGAACCTATTCCTTCTACTCCATATCAAGGGGGAAAAATGTTTATCTCTTTCCTCTTGCCTTGATACCACTTCTCCTCAAAGATCCTTCCTGCTTCCTCCTTCATCCCTCTTGGTAGAGAAACTTGTAGTAAGTATCAGATCCTTCTTAGTAGGACTATGAAACTGGTATGATCTCTTCAGGAACTGGGGTCTCACAACATTTGCAAACATGAGTTGTAGTGTTGGGTTTATTCATTTTGCTCAATCCAGAAAATGCCTAAATTATTTCTTGTAAGAAATGAACCTTCTACTCACTTTGATTTGTAGCTCAGGACACATAGGAAGGAAACCAAAAAGAGATTAGCACAGCTGGCTCCCTAATTCTGCTTACCAGTTACAGTGGGGTAGGAAATCCCCCTTTACACTGTGCACTTACAAGACAGCTAAAAAAAAAATCATGAGCATCTCTTGAGAACCTATTACAGTTCAGTGTCAGCAATTAATAGGGTGGAGCAGGAAATCTCCTGCCTCCCAGGAACAATGACAGGGGCACAAGAGGAAGAAAAGAACATTGACAGCAAATTCCCACTTCTGGCAGCAGTGGAGACCCCATTCAAGTCCAAAAGAGGAACAATAAAACTAGGGTCCACCTTTGCAGGAGCTGGAATTTGCTATCTTATCTAACCTTATTCCAAACATCTGCAGTAAAATAGAAAAGTAGCCAGCAAAAACTTGAAAAAGTATATTGGGAAAGTCACATCCCTCCTCACCCAGATTCCCTGTGCACACAATCCAATTCTAATTCCTCATGGTTCTACAGGATCTTGTCATCAAATGTCATCTTTATTTTGTGAACTCCACCTTGTAATCATTTTAGAACACAACTCTTGTTGCAACAATTCTCCATGCTGGATTAGAGCAGTTTTGCTGCTGGGGTGGATAACAACAGCAGACTACAAGTCAGATTCTCAGGGGTCATCTCTGTCACTTGGTTCTCCCATGCACAGAAGGATTCTTCCCACAAGGACTGGGATTTCCACCACTCTGTAGGAAGAAAACATGCAGGTAGCTGGAACACCAGCTCTCCCAACACAGGCAGTAGAACAAAGGGATTTACATGGAGGGTATCATTCTGGCATAGGACTGGGAGCAATCCTTACATGAAGAAAGCTGGCCAGAAATAGTTATCTGCCTTCTGACCAAAAGCAGACCAATATCCCCAGGACCAGCACAAAGGAGATTTCAAGCTTCTGCTCTTTTTAAGAGTTGAATTCCAGGACGCTTTGTCAGCAGCAAAATAGTCACGGTGAAGAAGCTTTATTTGCTAAGTCACTTCTATCACACAGCCTCACCAAGGGCTAAGCACAGAACACCTGAACTGAGTTTATGGACAGGAACTGCTATGGAAAAGGAAGTTCAGTGTCAGAGCAGTGTTGGTGAAGAAGGATCCAAGCTCCTTAGCTTATATTTCAAATTGCAGAGCCTTCCAGCTGGAGCTCAGGAACAGGCAATGTATTTGCAGTGTAGTTACCTCTGCCACAGGGAAGTCATCAATACTGAGATTTTGAAAGAGTGCTTAAGTTTAAGGACAAGTTGACTTCACTAAACTTGCATAAGCTGATACATCAAAACTTCTCTGTCTAAACTCCTGTCAATTTATAAGACACATAAGAAAGTAAGTTTTCCAAGGGTACAATTAAATAGACAGGCTTTGGAAAGGGGTCAAAGGAGAGAAATCTTGCAATTGGCTGTCCCAAAGATGTTTCAAGCTTTGCACTCTACAGACCTTTCCTTGCTACCACACAGTCCCTGAGCAGTCCCTCATCCCCTGCCCTCTCAAAAATTACTTTACATTGGAGGATTTCAGCTACACCAAGCAACACTACTTTGAGTTTTTCTGTATCTAATATAGAACCAACTCAGGACAGTTTAGAGTGGCAACATCTGAGACTGTTCAGCAAAAGATCTGAATGCTGAACCCTCAATGTCATACAGCAGGATCAATCCAGCCTAGATAAATATGCTCCAGAAATATTTACGCATTCCATGTTTGGCTACTACATACCCCTTCAGGGCCTGCAAATTCAGGATGCAGATTTGCATCCCACCAAGGGCCATTCCTCCCTCAGCCTGTTGGGCACAAGCCTACAGCCTCCCCACTAATGCTGAACAGGCCAACCCAAGTGAAGGAACAGGAGTTCCAGACTTACATAACCAGCCTGCCAAACCTACCCAGCCTTCAGCCAACCATAAGCATCACCAAGTACTAATCCTATGTTTCACCAAACACACCTGGAGGAGAAAGATAATCACTCATGTTGGAATAACAGGGACATTCTGAACAAACCACACCTACACAGTAAAACCAGTCAGAAACAAGATTAAACGAATCTAACTGACAAATATCATAAAAGCAGCAAGTAACTTCTTAAAGGCTGACAGACCTGAGAGCATGAACACTTCCCACAAACCACAGTTATTAACAGAGTAACTAGTCTGTAGTTTAGACAGTTCCTTTATCCAAAACCATTTAATTTCAAAAACTGAAGATTGACCTATTGTCAACAGACACCTAGCTGAACAGTGCTTCAAATTCCTGCCTGCAGCTGCTGACCAGCACATCCAGCTCAGGACAGAGTGAACAGAAACAACATCACTGCTCTGTTTCACTGGCCAGTTTGTCAGCTTGACTCATCATTGCTGAATACTTTATCCAGCCTCCTCTTTTCTGTTGGCCATTCTGTTTCTTACAAAGCTAGTGGCCAAAAAGCACTTATATGCACAACCTCAGGACACACACAAGAATGCACAAACCTCCTTGATTTGAAGAAAATTCTCACCTTTAGTCGCATGTAGCTTTCAAGTGAATCAGTATCACGAAATAGTTCTGGGTAAGTAGACATGGATGAATTTTATGTTGAATCTTGCAACCCTTTAGTTTCGTCTACACATACTTTTAACTACCAGTTGATTTTATTTTAAGATTGTGGACTGCAAAGCACAAGTCAAGTGACTGAATTCTGTTGACACAATTTCTTACCTCTCAGAAGCCCAGAGAAAGAGGGAGTTGTTCAAGTGCTGACAGCATCAGAGGTGGATAAAGGAAATAAAAGCCTTGATGCTTTCAATACTACAGCCCTGATTATTAACGAGCTACAACACGTTACAGTAAGTTTTCAACAGAGCAGAGCTTCACTCCTCAGCAAGCTGCCACCTGAAATCCTAAAGAAAGGCATGACACAGAGCTCTTTGTTCAAAAATCAGGAAATGCAAGAGCTTACTAGGCAGAAATGGGACTGGGAATTTATGTTTCTCCTCCCCCATGTTTATTAGGTCCAGAATTAAGAGGGGAAAAAAAATGAGGCTGAAAACAGAGCTGCTTTCAGGCACCCCTCAGAAAACCTTCCAAGCTCAAGGACAGCCATGTGATCAACTGGAAAAGCCCAAGACATGAGATGGGAGAATGCAAGTTGTTTTGTCCTTTGCTGCTTAGAACAAAACAGCAGTGAAGCCAGATGCCAAAGCCCTAAATAACCATTATCCCTGTATCAGGCCCCATCCACCTTACAAAGATAAGCCCCTCCTGTGGGACAAAACATCTTCTGAGGCAGAGAAGTGAAGATGATCACTAGATGATCTTTAAGGTCCTTTCTAACCCAAACCACTCTATGATTCCATGTCAAGTTAAAAGGATCATTTATCATTTAGACAAGGAGAGTGGTGGAACAGCAGCTGCCAGAACTTACACTCCTTTCTCAGTAAACAGGCAGTGAACCCAACACTGAGAACAGGGTAAGGTGGTTTTCACAACGTTCAGCCCCACCCAAGCCACAAGACACAGCAAGATGAAGTGGCTCCATCACATTGTCTTTACTGAAGTTCATTAAAAAGAATAATCCACTACCCACCACCTAATGGGGGTAGTATTTTATCATCTTTACAGCTATCCATTTGTTGACTCTTTCTGTCAGATCCAAGACTGTCAGACTTTAGTGCAACAACTCCTGTTTACCATCACACAACCACACGTGTCCTGACAAGTACAGGGAAGAACAGCTGCACCACCAGAACAATCCATGCTAGACTTGGCTTGGCCTGATGCATTTGCTGCCTCCTGACAGTCTTTTGCCCCATCTGAGCACAGTCTGCAGTTACCAGTATCACTGACACTTGAGGCAGGAACTGTGTGCTGGTGTTGTAAATTTAAGTGCCATCAGATGACTTGCATCATTAATGTAAACCAGACTAAAATGCCTGTGTCAGCTTATAAATTATGAATGTACATGGCCACAGGCTTCCTATCCAAAATTAATTTTCTCTTTGCCACAAGAAAAATACTTCAAGGACAGAGCATTGAAGCCATCTTGGAAAAGTATGACTGACTTCTTCCAACAGGACACAATGAAGCAGTCCCTTGTGCTGCCGAATACAAGTGAATGAATTAATTCTGTTAGTAACTACTCAAGAATGCCAGAACAGCTCAAAGCACCTCACCAGATGCAGGAGAGGGCTCTTCAGCACTTAACTCCAGCACCAAGAGCTGGAGCAACCAGCTATTCTCAGTTCTCCATGGGAAGGGTAGACAGAGCAAAGCTTTGGCATAACCAACAACAGATAAGAAATCAACACTAAATTCAAAGTGAGCAGAAGTGAGGATAACTTAATTCATTGTTGACAGACTGCCACAACATGCACGAATCCATGGGCGTTACCACAGCTATATTCAAGCTCCAAGAGATGAGCCAGTCAGGATGAAAGACAACACAGACAAGAGCAACACAAAACAATTAAGATATCAACTATCAGCACACTAATATTTTGCCTCAGTCTGAGCAAAGAGAAGCAAGTACCTTTTCATATATTCCCTATAAGGCTTGCCCTCAGGACCACCAGCCCCAAAACTGTGACAGCTCAGAACATCTTCTGACTGTATTAATTAATAAAGAACAGACCACCTCACCCTGCATCATCAAGGCCTGATAAAACCACAGCTCTAAAGGAGAACCTGTTAACTGGTCCAGCACACATCTTTACTGTGCACAGAAGTAGGCTGAAGCTCCAGGAGCAGCAGTCACCAGAGGAGCTTTGTGTATTGCCAAGGTAATTTTATAGCAGAAGTTAACAATGTTTGGTACACAAGGTGAGGGCAGCACTGTTACTTCAGCAAGGGGGTCAGGACTGAATAGCTTTTAGTTTCAAAAACAGTTTCACAGCAACAGGAAGGGCAGATATAACCCAGCTATAGGAACTGGATTTCTAGTTGCAATACAAGATACATGTACCACTTCAGCTGTTTAAGAAAAAAGCTGCTTGGAAGCATTCAAGATACACTCTCCAAAGCATGTGGACTGCTGAATGCCTGTTCGTTATTAGTGTGCCTATACTAAACTGAGGCTGGGTTTGAAAACACTTGTAAAAATGCACAAAGGGAGACTCACTACACTGTAGCTTAAGACTGAATTTTAACCATTACCAAAACAATAGTTGTGCACACTCCTCCTCACTTTAATGAGCTCCACACGAAAACCCTAATAAACCCTTTGCCAGCACCACTCACCAGATAGTGAGTGAGTGAGATACCAGTTTATGAGATACCAGTTAAGCTCAAACACAAAAAGGCTTGCTTCTAAAGTACTCTTAATGAGCAAAAACCTTCTTTAGTATGTGAAAAAAAACACATAAAGGCTTCTAAAAAGCCTGCTCTAATCACACAGCAATAATTTGATACATGACCTCCAATGCTTATTTAATTTTTTTTTAATACCATCAGGGACCCCCAAACCACAGACCATCTCTCTGACTGCCTGCAGCAGTTACTAGAATGTAACCAGCTTCAGGCACTCGCATCTCAAGCATGGCAATATTAGCTTTTAACATACGGCTTCTGGCATGCTTTAAGGAAATATTTATGCATGTTGTCTTTGACCTACAAGAATTAAAGGAGTTTTCAAATACCATGACAAGGGGAAAAAAAAAACAAAAAAACCCCAAGAAAAGTCAATGAACTGCCAGAATACCATACAAGCCTTAGGGGTTTCTTTTATTCTGGAATCAACACACTGCACATCCCTGCTCTGAACACAGCCAAGCTGGACAGAATTTCCTATCTGGAAGATGGGCACAGAATTCTGAAATCCCTTAAATCACTGTGCCAGTGCAGAACCAAGGAAGCTGGAAGATTCCTACAACTAGTTTGTTTTCTGCCATTGCCTAACTGACACCTACGCACATGGCTGTGAGTGCTGGGAAAAACTGTCTGGAAATGCCTATAGAGGAGGACCATCACCCCACGGGAAATGGAAGTGCACCCACCAAACCTAACAGCTCTTCCTATTTCTCAGCTGCATTCCCTTCAGGCAGCAGTCACCAAAACATTTACTGGGCAGCCTCTGTATTTACTGTTACATGCAGTGAGAAGTCAGGGTTTACATGGCTAAGAGTTAGTTTTATAGGTGACTGTATACAGTTATATTCTACTTTGGACAAGGCTCAGTTCCTTTGTCATCTCCAAGCTGGCTAAGGGCTCCCAGAATTTAATTAACACCACCACAATTAAATACCACCACTCTCCCCACCAGTGGGGACCAAGAGGTCTGACCAACCGCCCTTCCTCCATATCAGTTATCTCATGCACTGTGCTTTCCATCTATGTTTAAGCAGGACCCTGGTCTTTTTTTTTTTTTTTTGGCTTGACCACTCAGAGCTGGCCCAGAGCCCTCACCTTGCAGCAGGGTTCTGCTATCTGCACGTCAGTTCTCTGTGCTGGAAGTGGCTGATATTCCTACGTGCCAGATCCCGAGCGAGTGCTGAAGCGCTGCACTCCCCACAAGCCATGGGAACAGTTTCCCTGAAATGAAAAACCAATAATCAGCAAAAAAAGAGGGGATCGAGTTCACAGAGGGACATGTAAAAGTTCAGCAAACAGAATCTAAGAAGCAACAAACAGTTCAGAGGGTCACTGGGAGCCAGAAAGAGACATGCTGATACCTAGAAACACAACAAGAACACTAGGAGCCAAGCAGAACTCTTAGCAGGAAGGAATTTCCAGGATCTGTTATTCTAACAGAAGTTACCAAAAAGCAGGCGTTGCAGACCCAGCCAAAAGAGATGCTGAATACCAATATCACAACTAAGCCTACACAAGAAGAGACAGAACAACAAATCACTGTCAGATAGGGAAAGGGATGACTTTACTGCCTATTTTCTAGTCTGAAAAGCATGATTCATTTTTAAATGTTACTATCAGGAGTATCAGAAAGCATAGATCACACTCCTAACTACTCCAGATTCAAGCAACTGCCCCTTCCGTCACAACACGGGTCTTCTTGAAGTAGAAGCAATTTAGCATCATCAACAAAAATTACAGCAGGGTTGGGTTGTTTTTTTTTTTCCTTGCTTCCTGCATGTCAGCACGGGGCATGGGAAAACAGGCAAGGGAGCAGATCCTTAGAGGGATCTCCCAAGCATCCAGCCTCCCAGCCATGTAGGAGAGGACTGCAGAACATCGGAGAGCATTCTCAACAACAGGAAAAAATTAAAAAGAAGCGAAATCAGTGTGAGAAAGTCCAACCCCATAATGCTGAAGAAGTCCGAGGGTTCATTCCTCTCGATCCCAAAGTTACTATTCGGGCTGACAGATCTTGAAGCAACACCCTCCCTGAAAACCAAAGCTATTGCATTTTAGCCGTACCACAGTGCCGCAAAGGCAGCAGCACTAGGAGGGGAGGACTCTCTGACCTTCTCCCCGCTCCAGGCAATGGGCACCAGCCTCAACCCAGCACACCTCGGCAGCAGCCCCCACCACTACACCACAGCTTTCCGGACACAGAAAGAAACATCCTCGGGGAGATATAAATAAATCCCATCGCGCTTCCGTCTGCAGGTAACAAACAGCGGAGTCCTCCCCTCGCTGGGGGAACACTGCGCACACCCCGGCCCTGCCTTGCCCCACAGACGGGGCGCGGACCCCCCTGCCCTGGGCGGTGTGAGACCAGGGACGGCGGGACACGGAGGAACCGAGTCGCTGCCGAATTACTCAGCAAATCCTTCCTGCTTGCCGCTTCCGAGCCCCCTCAGCCAAGCCCCCCCCGACCCGGCGTCCCACCGCATCCCCTCCGGGACACCACCCCACAGGGGGACACGTCCCCACAGCCCGCCCGAGGCGTGAGGGGAGTGCGGCACACCCACCTGCCCGCCACGGCCGTGAGGGGAACCCACCACACCCACCTGCCTACGGCGCCCACCCTCCCTCACGCCGCTCCGGCGCCTTTTGTCCGCCCTGCCCGCAGCGGCCCCACCCCGGATCTGACCTCACCCGGCCGGCACTGCTACCATCGCCCGTCGCCGCCATCTTGGGGGTGGGCACGGCGACATGGGCCCAGCGCCATCTTTGTACAGGGCGCGCTCCATAGGGGGCGGGTGGGAGCGGGCGGAGTGAGGGCGGCGGCGCCATCTTGGTACCGGGCAGCGCTCAAAATGGCGCCAGTCTTAAAGAAGCCTCTTCAGCTCCAGCCTGAGAGCAGCTGATTGCTGTGAATTTTGAGGTGCCTGAGAAAAGTGATTCACTGGTAGTTATTTTTAACTTGTCTGACGCAAAGGAGGACACTGTGCAGCATCATTTCTTTTTAAATTCATAAAGGATGGTTCAAAGGCATTTGTTGTCATTTTATTAGTGTACATCAGGCGGTTCCGAGTGGTTAAGTGCAGCCAATTTTAACTTGTATACACCAGTGATGTCTGTAACAATAAGTGTATATGTGACTTTCTAGGAATGTTATGAGTCTTGGCAACTTCCTGTAGCCACAGGCACAGGACCTATACCAGAGGAGCTGGGATCCCAGTGCCAGGACATAGCACTGTAGACTCTTTATCAGCCCAGTGCAATAGCTGTTTATTTATGTTTTTTTAACTCAATGCTAATTAAGAACTGTTCATGTCCAGATACATTTGTTAAATTAAAATTACCTGAAGAAAAAGAGAGTTGTAACTTCCCTTGAGTTTTACAGTAAGAAGTACAAGGTCAGATGTGTCCTTTACATGACCAGCATGTTATAAATGCAAAGGCAAATTTGGGTTAAATAAAATAACAATTTATTATAAAACAATTTTTATAAAAAAATAAACAATGAGGAAAAACCACAATAAAATAAACAGCGCAGCGCTGGGTGGACAGGGGTCTATACCCACAGGTATAGGTGTTCCCAAATCCACGAAGGAGGGTAGACTGTCCGGGGTTTTTATAGGGATTTTGTGTCCTGAGGCTAAATTCCAGGCAGGCACCATTCACCAAGGGTCCTTGATTGTTGGATGAATTGATTTCCTGGCATTGGAGAATAGAGTCAAATAGACGTCCGGGCAGAGTCTCCTCATATGTAAAGAAGTTCTGAGTGTTCCTTGATTTCATTTTGGTTCAGGCCATCTGGATGGGATGGTTGGATCCGGGTTGGAGCTGATGGATATCTCGGCTGGACTTTTTTTCCCTTTGTCTGCCTGATTGCTTCCCCAACAGTGGCCTGCAAGGCGGGGTGTTCAGGTCCGGTGATGAGTATCTTGTCCGAGCCCTTCCCTGTCAGCCTGATGGCCCATGTCCTGTTCATTCTTTTCCGTTGATGGGCGCCGGCTAGGATCGTTATCTCTCGAGTGGGAATTCGCGACTAGATCTGGGAAGGACTTGTGGGCCACACCGTACTTTATATTTTATATTATTATCGCTACAAATATATTTATTTAGATCTCTACGAATTTTTATAAGTTCATTTATCACAAGCATGTAAAGGATCTGACCTCATCCAGAAATTTCTGCTGAATTTCAAGAGGGCATTAAGGTAAAATTTCATTATACTGTTAGACCAATATAACGTCTAAATCCTGAAAGAGAAGGTGGAGGCTTGTGTCCATCCCTTTTTCTCCCTGCTCCTCCCTGCCCACCTCTTTTTTTCCTTGCAGGACCTTTTGCCCTCACATCCACCCTGACCCAGTTCAACTCATGGACCTGATAAAATATTAGCCCCTTTTCTGCCAAACTGGTTTTTTGCTAACATATTTAATCAAACAAGCTCAGTTCAGGGGCAAATAACAATCAGGGAAGGCAAAAGGCTGGCAGAGGACAGAGCAGAGAAAGCACAGGGGAAAATGCCGCTGAGCCATTCGATGGCTCCGGATGTGATGTGAACATTCTTACAGAACCAAGTTTTCCTTCCATCTGTTTGTTTCAGTGTTTGAGTTAACCAGAAATTTAGAAAACAGTTTTCCTCTCCCTGCAGACATTCTCTCCTGCTTAATCACCTCAGGGATGCCTGTGGGATGTCGGGTTGGGATTGGTAACCTTTGGCACAGCAGATGCAGCTGCTTCCTCTCCCCATGGCTCACTTTTTCCTGCTGTGAAAGGGAGACACAAATTATTCAAGAGACTTACACGACCTGACTCATCGGTGCAGGTCAAGCCTTGTCACAAAAGTAAGAGGGAAGAGAGGGCAGTTTTCTCTCAACACCTCCCGGCAGCAAACTCTCAAACACCGATGGAGAGCTCGGCTCCCACATCCCCGCACTGAAAGCGATGCTATCCCTGCCCGGCCACCCACAGCCCAGGGGTCGGGCAATGCTGCAGGATCTGCTCTAGGTTGTGTCGTGGCAGGAGGGCCTTACGCTTATCCCTTCCCTTCTCTAATAATATTAAGACCGCAGGATGAAATTTTGTAGAGGATTTTGACTTAAAAATTCATTTCTCAAAACGACAGAAGGCTTAATTCAAAGGGAAATTCCCTGCCATTGCCATGCTAAAGTATTTACAGCCAAACCACAAAAAATATGCCGCTATGGTTATGCCAGCATGAGCTTCCACCTGAACAACAAGCTGGGTTATTTCCCCAGGCAGCCAAACCCGCGTGAGCCCACAGAGCCTGCTCCCGGTACGCTGCTCCCCAGCAGGGCTGCAGCTGCAGCGCTGCTTTCCTGCGGCCCCTGCGGCTCCTCCCAGGAAGTGCCAGCCGCAGCCCAAGCCTTTCGGGCAGAGGAGAAGGCAGGATGTGTGCCAGGGCATCCCGGGCGGCTGTGCCCGGCTTTGCAGCGTAAAGCAGCGCGGCCCAGCTCGATGTAAGTCGGTTTTGTCCCCGCTGTCGCTCTGGCAGCTGCTTTGTCCCCAGCGTCAGCTCCTGCTGGCGCTGCTGCTGCTCTCGCCCTGCGCCCGCCCCGGTCCTGCGCTCCTCCTGAGGCACATCCAGGGACAGCCGTGTCCCCAAAGCCTCCCGGGTGCACCCCCGAGTTGCCGGGGGGCGGCTTGAGGAGCACCGGGATGGAGGAGACGGCTGCGACCCGCGGGCTGGAGGTGGTGAGTGACCAGTCCCCGAGGTGACCTTCTGGCCGTCACCTCCAAAATCCGCTGCTCAGTCCAGTGCACCCTTCCAGAGTGCGCGGAGTCCCGGTCGGCTGCTCCCCGCTGCTGCCCCCAGCCTTGTGCACAGCTCTTACACAGCTCTGCTGCAATCTGATAAAGCCTTTTTTACTGCCACGCTTTGGTTCTGTCCCCTGCAAGGTAGGTCCCCTTATTCCAGGACTCCAAGGTGGAGATTTCATAGTCATGAGAAATATGATGATCCCATTTTTCCATAAATTGTGCTATTTTTTCCCACTTAGAAAACAGATGTGAAACCCACTGGTCTTGGCTGGCAGCTGCTTTGCACTTTTTTTAGAAATAACAAAAAATGCAGACACGGGGGACTTGGATCCTGCATGTAGGGATGGAAAGTGCCCTTAGGAGTATTGAGAGCTACCTGTGGGCTGATCAGCTTCAAACCTCTTTTAATTAATATTTTGGCAGATTATTCATGGCTGGTCATAATCCAGGTGCATGCATCCTCCAGCCTCATTGCTTTTATCTCAAATACTTAATAAAACATTCACTTATTTTAGTTTAAAAACTGCATGTTTAAGTAATGCTTTAGAATAGTTGAAGGAACCTGAGGTGAAGGAACAGGCTGCATTTTAGACACAGAAATTAATTTGTTTGGGGCCTTGAAGGGAAGATAATCTCCAAAATAATTTTAGCAAGAGAAGGTGACATCCTGTTAATTGGAATAAAACTTGTGACTAAACCAGAGCTGCAGCAGCTGAGAGGCCAGAGATTCTCGGTATGGGCCGGGAAAGTGCTGTTAGGGAGGAAGGGCAGAGGTAAGAGTTACCTGGGCCCAGTGACACTGGATGGGGAGCTGATGCTGAGTACCAAATTCCCAGAGGATGTCCTCTTGCTGGTGTCCGTACCACTCCCATCAGTGCAGAGGAAAGTGGGGGAAGCCTGGATTGGGAGAGAGAAGGCAGAAGTTATGGTTGCCCTTGTGATCCTGATTCTGTGTGTCATGGGCACAAAGTACAGCCCCAGCACTGCTGGACATTGCAGTGATGACATACAAAGCAGCTCGTTTTGCCTTTTCCTCTCTGTGGCAGAGCAACCTCAGCTTTGGGTCTGGGCCTGCCCCATCCCAGGTACCTGTTTGCTTTAACCCTGTGGTGAAATTGTCTCAGCCCTCTCCTTTGTCTCTGGGGAATTGCAGGTCTGTGTCTGTAGGAGTGAGGCAGCAGGAGCCGTGGCATGCTCAGGAGAGTGGGACTGTCCCTGCGTCACTTCTTGCTGGGGAGGAACAGCAGTGCTGGACATAGCTCCTGCTCCAGAGAGGTATGGAATGCCCAGTGGGACTGTTCCTGGCTGGCAGCCTGCACAGGGCAGCTCACTTTGGCAATAAGGGCAGACTGACCACGTCAGGAAAAGCCACTTTGGTGCAACTTCCTCTGTACCTCCTTATTTCCAGGGCGTGTGTTTAAAGGATCCTCATAAGTAAGGGGATATCCTTCAGAGAGGGGAAGGCTCCTTTTTTGTGAGGTTGCTTCATCTGATGGTCTCCACTAGAGCCTCTTGGCTTGCAAAGTACTTGGAAAATATCAGCATTCCACTCAGAGATCCCAACATGTAGAGCAAGGGAGTCACACACAGTGGAGTCAGTGGTGGAAGTCTTCTTCAAGTCTTCTGCACTGGTACTCAACTCTCCTGTGTGGCTGCCAGGCAAACTCCACCTTCTCTCTGGGGACCTGAACAGGCTGAAACAGATTTGAGGGCTGCATGGTCCTGAGCCTGTGTTGCTCTCCAGCAGCATTACACACAGGCTGAGGATAGGATGGGGTGGAGAGGACATCAGGAAAAAAAAAAAGTATTTGTTATTTCTGGTCCTGAAGCAGACAAAACCTTTCATCAGACCTGGGAATTTCAAGGCTTAAGGCACCTTCTTCCCACTGATCCCCATCACACTTGGTCATCTGTTAAATTCTCTGACCTGCAGCAGCCCCACCTTGCAAGAATAGCACCAGAGCTGTTAATATTTTACCTCCAGATATCTTTTACTTCCCAAGCCATAAATCCTTTTGCTCCCACCCAAATCAGCTCAGGCACCAGGTCTTTTGACTGAAACAGCCATGAGCTTGTGCAGAAAGAAGGGAGGGGAGGGGAGGGGAG